CCCCGTGTGTCCCCCCGGGCACGCAGCCCCCCCCCGCGGCTCCCCGTGTGTCTTCCCCGGCCCCGCAGCCCCCCCGTGTATCGTTCCCCCCCGGGCCCGCAGCCCCTCCGCGGCTGCCCCCCCTCAATCTTCCCGGCCCGGCAGCCCCCCCGTGTGTCTCCCCCGGCCCGTGCTAACCCCACCCGCGAACCCCGGTCTCGTCTTACTTCCTGGGGGGGGAGCAGCCGCGGAGCCGGTGACTCCCCCCCCCGCCCGTTGGATTCTGATCATCTCCCCAATGAACAGAGCTGGGAGCCAGGACGCCTGGGTTCTCTCCCCCGCTCTGTTCGGTGTCTCCCCTGTCTTAAGTAGAGATATTGGTGCTCATTCGCTGGGGGGGGGAGAGGGGGCTGAGAGTTGCCCCCTCCCACTGGAATTCTGGGGGGGCTCCATGTTTCCCCACAAACCCCCTCATCCCCCCCCCCCCACTGTGCGAATGCTCCCACTGCCGGGATCCCTCTGCCCAGGGTGACCTCTGGGTCTAAATGGAGCCACTGGAAAGGATGGGGGGAGGAGTCCAGGATTCCTGGGTTCTTTCCCTCTAGGGGGCGCCGGCTCCCATCCTGCCCCAGGGCAGGGACTGCCTGGCTCAGGGGGGCGGGGAATGGGACATGGGGCCTGTCCCCTCTAGGGGGCGCCGGCTCCCATCCTGCCCCAGGGCAGGGACTGGCTGGCTCAGGGGGGTAAGGGGGGGATCCCAGTCTTGCTGGGGGTCTCCCCTCTCCAGGAGGTTGTTTTTTTTTTTTTTTTTTTGAGATTTCTAGAACGGGGCGACTAACCATCCTCTGTGTTTGCCCCCCATCCCCACCCCTCTCTGTCCGCCCCTCGCCCCTCCCCCACCCCCTCTCCAGTACGTGGCCTTCGCCTCCCTCTTCTTCATCCTCCTCTCCATCACCACCTTCTGCCTGGAGACGCACGAGGCCTTCAACTGCATCATCAACAAGACGGAGACAGTGGCGGTGGCCAACGGGACGGCCACCCAGGTGGCGGTGGAGGTGGAGACGGAGCCGTTCCTCACCTACGTGGAGGGGGCCTGCGTGATCTGGTTCACCTTCGAGTTCCTCATGCGCGTCTGCTTCTGCCCGGACAAGCTGGAGTTCGTCAAGAGCAGCCTCAACATCATTGATTTTGTGGCCATCCTGCCCTTCTACCTGGAGGTGGGCCTGCGGGGCCTCTCCTCCAAGGCGGCCAAGGACGTGCTGGGCTTCCTCCGCGTGGTGCGTTTCGTGCGGATCTTGCGGATCTTCAAGCTGACCCGGCACTTCGTGGGGCTGCGGGTGCTGGGCCACACGCTCCGCGCCAGCACCAACGAGTTCTTGCTCCTCATCATCTTCCTGGCCTTGGGCGTCTTGATCTTCGCCACCATGATCTACTACGCCGAGCGCATCGGGGCCGACCCGGACGACATCACGGGCAGCAAGCACACCGTCTTCAAGAACATCCCCATCGGGTTCTGGTGGGCCGTGGTGACCATGACCACGCTGGGCTACGGAGACATGTACCCCATGACCTGGTCGGGCATGCTGGTGGGGGCGCTGTGCGCCCTGGCCGGGGTGCTGACCATCGCCATGCCCGTGCCCGTCATCGTCAACAACTTCGGCATGTACTACTCCCTGGCCATGGCCAAGCAGAAGCTGCCCAAGAAGAAGAACAGACACATCCCCCGAGCGCCCCAGCCCGGCTCGCCCAACTACTGCAAGCCCGAGGGAGCCCCCGGCCCCCGGCCCGGCCCCCCCACGGCCGACGCCTGCCCCCTGGCCCAGGAGGAGATCATCGAGATCAACCGGGCAGGTAGGGGGCCCCGCGGCCTGCCCCATGGCGACGCCAGCCCCGTGCCCTGCCCCATGCCCTGCCCTGGGTGGATCCCAGCCCCATGCCCTGCCCCACGGGGATCCCAGCCCTGCGCCCTGCCCCGCAGGAACCCCAGCCCCATGCCCTGCCCCACGCCCTGCCCCATGGGGATCCCAGCCCTGTGC